AAATTCCTCTCTCCTTGCAAAAAAGCACAGCATTAATAAATTGTCTTTTACCAAATTCAGCTTTTTTTATTTTACATCTGCTATTGGAGAGCCTAAATTCACATCTATTTTATAACCTCCCACTCCTCACTGGTTTGATCTGCATTCATTTCCTTGTGTAAATAATTCCAATCTTTTCAATCCCTTGAAAAACTCTGCCATATCCTTCATATCAAACTCTCTACAATACTGTGATTTATCTTTTTTTTTTTTTTTAAACTAATTGACAGTTAATATCACACTTTGAATAGCAGATAAGAATTAAGGAATTTGTATAGAATGGCACTTCTTTCTCTATGCTTTTCTCCCAGTTCTGATTACAGCTATAATTGGGTAATGATACATGGGCAAACTGCAATGACGCCCAAATTTTCTTGTTATATTAAAACTGTTAAAGTAGGAACTTTTAAGACATATAAATGGTATCTTATTTTCTGCCTCCAAAAGACACTGTTTTGCATATACCAACAATCAGTTTTACCTGTCATCCTGCTGTCCTTTCACACAGCTTAGACTTCTCACGTGACCTTTTCAGTATTTCTGAAGTTGATTAAACATTTTGAATCCTCAGTAAATATTGCTATTTTATAAATCAAATTCTGCAGATGATTAATAGAAAATATTGAACAGCTCCTGATTTAAGACAAAATGTTAAGCCTCGTATAACTTAACATTTATTTCTGTTATTTCCTCTTGGAGATTTTTGTGACCCCTGAAAATATTTTACCTCTCATATCACGGCACTTTTATGTAATAGCCTGGTGTGAGGAACCTTCAACCTTTAAAAAGCATATGTAAATTAGAACTATATTAAAATTTTATCTGCTATGCTATTACTGCAATCAAAAAACCCTAGTACATTAGTGAGACACAATTGTCTTTGCAGAAGCAGTACAAACCACATTAGTAATACTAGTTAGTACTACTGAATCTACCATCAGTCTTCGTTGTCTTTGTATACTTCTACCTACAGGCAATTAAAACTGTAAGAGATGAGAATTACATATGCATGGGTTTTTTTAAGAGGTCCCAACAATTTTCAGACCTTTTTCCTATCCAAACAAAGTTTATGAGATCACTTCTGGAGGATTTGCTGGTAACTCCCCTTCAGTAACTTAAAATCTATTGACCAATTTCTACCAAATTGGACTCAAGTACATTGAGGTTCTCCAAATTTGTGAAAACAAGAGCCAGATAGAGAACAGAGACTGTATTAATACTCCCAGTAAATTAATGGAGCTTACCACACAGCAGGAAAAAGGGGAAAAAAACAGTACAAATGCCCTAGCTATAAGAAATGCTTCAACAGAATTTAATGCTTTTTATTAGATGCCCAAAACACCCACCTGGGTTTAGAAGAGATTCCTGTTTTCTAATAAGTTTTACGTGCCAGACAGTTATGGCATTCATAATAATCTACTTCTGTGTGGAGTCTGCTGTCGGAAGACAAAATTCATGTCACACCCATAGCATCTAAGTAAAAAGTCAATCAACAGCAACCTATAAACTCATTGAAAACTACCCATTATTTCTACTCTTCATCAAGTGTTTTATTAACATGTAACTACCTTTGTTATTCTGTAGTTCTTTGTGTGTATAAGGTAACTTATTACACCAACACACTAACATAAGTAAGCTAGCATTCAATTTAGCTTCCCACCCCCCAAAAAATATAGGCACCTAAATTAATATATCTATTTAGAAATGCATACACTTTTGATGACATTTTCTGACCTCTAACTAATTAAAAAAATTTTTCAGAGAATTAAGAATTCCAATATTAAAGATAGCAAAATCAGAAATTCTTGTAACTAGTTTATTTTCCCAGAAGCCTATAATTAATGTTTTAGCTGCCTCTCCAACACATTCTTTGTTCAACTTATGTTGTAAGATGCAGGTCACAGCACTGCATAAGCACTTGAGTAGTTTGAAGAGGCTACACAAAATGCTTCTGACCGCTAGGGAGGAGGTGGCTCTGCAAAAATAATTCTTTTGTTTGCAAAGTCATTTGAAGTCAGTATGACAGTGTAGGTTGTTCCAGTCTTATCCCGTATCTTTTCTTCCTTGGAACCACATCTTGTAAACATGAAATATATAGCCTGTAATCTGTGTCAGACGACCTCAAGATCCCTCCCAAAAAACTTAAGAGACTGATTCACAGATGTACTGGAACACAGAACTCCTATTGCAATCTGGCGCCTCGGTATCTTTGAGAATCCAGGACATAGTCCAAAAAAACCCGAAAACTGGTATTATCACCCGTGCAGCAGTCAGGGGCTCCAAGGCCGTAAAAGAAGCAGAGCAGGAGTTATAAAAGGTGCTTCACTCTCCAAGTAGTTAAATTAAATAGAGTACATTAAGATGCATCAGACACAGAAGCAGAAGGTTATAAAAAGGCCCAATCCGAAAGCAGTAACAGTAACCTGATAAGACTTCCATCATGATACCTTTTCTCAGCCGCCAAAAGCATAGGAACAAAGGAAAAAAAGTCATTTTCTTTCAAACTCTGTATTTCCCACAGACAATAGAGTTTCATATTTTAGTTTAATCCTCAGTCTGATAAGTATCTGGCTTTTTTTTTTCGTCCCTCCAAACTGCAGACTTACAGATCTTGGTGGATGAGAAGTGAGTATATATATATGCAAGTGGGTTGATAGCAGTTTAAGAGTGTTAAAAAAACAAATATATATATATAAAATAGAACAAGCAGGATTATATGCATCGTCTTCTGTGGGGAAGAAAAACCAACAGAAAACACAGGGTATGAGACAAAGCACATCCATCATGAAAAGCGACAAAAAGAACTATGAAAGAGCAAGTGAAGGGAAAAGAAAGTAGGATAAAACACATTAAAAGCACAAGGAAAGAGATTTCATTATCTATTACAGGGAAGAAGAGACTCATGTGAAGAAAAAAATTGTGAAATGTTGGGTTAAAACTTCATACACTTCACCCCCGCTTTTGAAGGAAAATAGTCTCATGTGGGAAGCATCGGTGAGGGGATCCCCCACTTGGAAACTGGCTGGCTGAATTCAATCAAATTTGACAAGACTAGGGGGTCTCAAAGATAATTGCCTAGGAAAATGCTAAGTTCATGAAACCAAGATGCTATGAGTGTCCCGACTGAGAGAAAGGCCGCAGTATGCATTAATACCTTATTAGACATTAGATGATCCACAAAAGGATGAGACTATAAATGTTTCAAACACACCAAAAAAAAAAAAAATCCATTAGAGCCTACAATCATCCGTGCGATAAAAATAAAAAGGAAGAAAAAAAAAAAAAAGAGTAAGAAACCAGGCTTCTACTGCTTAAGGAACTACTCTTTTAAAATACTTCTTCCTCTTTCACCTGGGGAAAATCAGAAGACATGGTAATACTTGGTATAGTATTCACCATCAGGAGTAATAACAAAGAAATGCCAAAAGGCCCTTTTTATATGCAAAAGTGCTGTACAAAGCGGGTCATTTTTATCTTCCTTTTGAGAAATCGAAGCAAGAGAGGCAAAGTGACTGCAAGGAAAAACAGTAGTGGAAAAGCTGGATGGAAAGAAAAGCCAAGTAACCCAAATCACCTTCCACCCACTACTTCCGTCTGCGTTCAGAACCAGCAGCATCCAACGCATAATATAATACGTTTTCTGGAATACGATTAAAACAGAACATACTTACAGCATAAAAAAAGGTCATCTTATTGATTATTGTAAAAGCTGTATCACTCTTTTGATTTGTTTTATAAAGATCAACCTCTTCTTGAATTCACAAATATTCAGTTAATAGTCACTATGTGTTAACATATTAACTCAACACAAATGACAAGCAGCAATTCCCATGCTTTTTCAAGGAAACCAGATTTCGGATAACCATGTATATTATCCATCTACACTTTTATAGTTTAGTCAAGTCAGTATTTCATATTCAAAAATGGCATCTGCATGCTTGCTAAAAATTAATCTTTGCTACAATTTAAGCAAAGAGAAACTTCAGACGGCATTCCATTGAATGCCTTCTTGTGTGCTTGCTGATATACTAGCCTGATGGTACCAGAAAGGCACCTAATTTAAACCAGTAAGTGATTTTCGTAGGTTCTACAATGAAAGCATCTAGAATCTCAGATGATTAGATTTTACTGGCAAGCGATCTGGGATGCTTGGACCTGATGTAGCTGAACATACTTAAGCAAACTACCAAAGCTTTGTCAAACATTTCAGATTCAAGGATAACAAAGCAGAATTAGTTTAATCATTTTCAACACAATTCGCCAGATAAAATATCAGAGACCGGTTGCACAAACAGATCTTGAAATATTTCACTTTTCAGGAAGCGCACCTTTCAACTTCAGACAATACCCAGCATCTGCATGCCAAGAGAAAAAGGAATGCAGTCATATGGAATCAGTTAACAATTACAGCCAATAAACAAATCGACTGCAGTGGAAGATCTACTTTCGATACTAATAAGCAGTGATTCATGTGAAGCGTCATGTAGCTTTCCTTACTTATAGATTCATCATCCATATATTTAAAAGAAAAACTCAACTCATTACCATATGAAATGCTAGCTAAATATACTATATTTCAGCTGTTGGAGATGCAAACAAAAGAAAAGTCTTGGCGTTGAAAATGTGGGACTGTTACCTAAAATCCTAATTCTAGTATACAAAGAACAGGCACGTCCGTGTTTAATAAAGCAGATCTAAATGCAGCACCTTGCTCCACTCCAGGCTATCAACACTTTCTATTCGCCCTTACGTTTATTCTATCTATTTATTTTTTTTTTGTCACAAAGAATCCAAGTTACGTCTTCTCAAGCTAAGGTATTTGTTTAAAACCGTCACTGCTGAAAAGGCTGGGGAGGGAAAAAAAAAAAAAATCAACCTAGAGCATTTAATCTGATTAAATGCCACCGTGTCACAATTAGATGTCACTGTATGTTCACTTTAAATCCGAAAGCACATGCGGCATGAAAGGCAGTCACGGCAACGTCCTGCTCCAGGTGCGAGCGCAGGCAGTGTACGTATGCCCGGCATTAAAGCTTAGCCCTTCAGCCCTCCGTACTTTCCATTTATTCCGTTCGGGAGCGCAGCGGGCGCGGAGGAAGGCGCTTTTGCCGGCTGGAGAAGTTGGGAAACCGACGTGCTTTCCCCCCCTGCTCGCAGCCGGCCGCGCTCTCCCCGCCGGAGACTAACAATGGGCGCAGTGTTTCCCCGCCGGCAGATCTGCCCCTCCCCGGCCTCGGATCCACCCCCCTGCGAG